GTATTTAGAATCTAGTAAAAAAGTACTATTTATCCTCTTTTCTTTTCTCTATTTCTATGCGAGACACAACTAGATCAATAGATTTGTGTGTCTGAAGCTCTCTCTCCTTAGAAATCTTCTTCTGTGTATGACTTACTACTACTCTTGTATGTGTGTATGACTTACTATTACTCTTGTGTCTTTCTAAACATTCTCAACACGTTATCAGCATAACTCTCTTTTACATACTATCACAATTTTTTGCTCTAGTCTTTGACTCTTCAAACCTGTTGCTATCCTTGCTCAATGTCTACTTCATGATCTTGTTCTTCTTACTAGTCCCTCAGACATTAGCTTACTTAGACCACTTTTTCCATTCTCTGCCCTACTTGCTTAGAATACTTAATCCAGTCCAACTCCACCCCAGTTTGCTCCCTACTCCTTGCTACGCCCCGCCCCTACTTTTGCCAAATAACCGTCGAACTATCATCGAGCAGTCACCAAATCCACCATTGCCGTCGCTGCTATCCTATCGCCATTGATGTTGCCGCCCATTGCCGCCCATCGTTGCTCGCCGTCGCCCGCCATTGCTGTCCACTGCTGCCCGCCGCGGCCACCCTGCCATCCCATTGTTGTCGCCCTATCACTGCTTGCTACGCCATCTTATTACTATTTTGTTGCCTTAATCTATAATCTCCTTAAAATATATATATATATATATATATATATATATATATATATATATGTATTTTTATTTTTTCAAGTTCAAGTTTATTATTTTATTTGACTTTATATTTTAAGGTACGTTTTATTCAACTTTTTTACTTGATCTTGTATTTTCTTTACAGATTTATTTATAATGAGTGCTTCAACATCTTCAACTGCTTTTAATATGGTTCCAATTATTACCAGTGCATCCCAATATTTTCAAGCTCTTTTATTTCAATCATTCATTGTGGATGGAAACAATTATCTATTATGGCCAAAAATGGCAAAAGTAAATTTATTTACAGAACAACTCTTGGATGCCATTATATTTGAAGAATCTCCTACAACAAGTATTTCTATATCTCTTGCTATTTGTTGGAAAGCACTTCTTCTCCTTCATCATCATCTTGTACCTACATTACAACATCAATATTTGGAAATAAAAGATCTTGCAGAACTTTGGAAGAATTTTAAATCTAGGTTTGATCATCAAAAGATCATTTTTCTTCTATGTGCATGTCATAATTGAATACATTTACATGTCTTGGATTTTTTAAATTTAAATGCTTTCAATAGTGAAATGTATAGTATTGTCTCACAATTACGATTATATGGACAAAGCATTTCTAAAGAAGAAATGATTGAAAAAACTCTCTCTATATTTCCTCCTGTATCTGCTGTGCTTGCATAACAATACAAGAACATGAAATTTTAGAGTCATTCTGATCTCATGTCCTATCTACTTCTTGTGGAGAAGCAAAATGAGCTACTCTTGCGCAATGCAGAAGCTCGTCCTATTGAAACTACAATTCCAAAATCTCATGCACTTAATATTTTAAAGTCTAAAAAGAAATTACATAAATATGGGAAACGTGTTCATAAGTATCAGGGTAGTCATAGTCAAGAACATTTCTATCCATATAGAAAGAATAAAAATTCTACTATTAATTATAGTAGAAAATAAAAATCAGAGATGCATTCTTGCCATAAGTGTAGAATGATTGAATATTTAGCACATACGTGTCATACTTCAAAATATTTTATTAAAATATTCCAAAAAAATAAGAAATTACGAGTTGAAGCTTGTAAAGTTCATACCATTGATGCGTCCATAGATTCAATTGGCGTTGATGACTTAGAGGCTTATATAAATGATAGAACCTCTAATGATGAATCAAATGATGCGCTCATTGATTCTGCAATAATACATACCATCTTACGAGATAGACAATTTTTTATTGAAAAATCTTCAACTTGGAAAACTAAAAATATGATGACTATGGCTAGAACAAATACGTTTTGTTTCCAAGAGGGCACAGCGATGGTAAAATTACCTGTGGCTTTCATCATAAAATGTTAACATGTGATTTTTACACCTTCAGCACTTCGGACTCTAATCAGCTACTGAGATGTGCGTATTAATGGTTATCACCTCTCAAACGTCTCTTTAAATAGAAAAGAGGTTTTGGTTCTTACAAAGAACAATAAAGTTATTGAAAAAGCTTTTGCTATAGAAAATGGTTTATACCAAATTGAGATTCGACCTTCCAATATATTAATTTTGCATCATCTATCTCAAAGAGTCATGTTTCTCTTTGGCATGGATAATTGGAACATCTAAGATCCACATTATTTAGGAAGATTATTCCATGTATAACTGGGCATAATTTAAAGCCTGTAGATATAGATTCTATGGAATTATGTCGTGCATGCATGCAAGGTAAAATGATTACTCAGTTTTCAATTTGGAAACTCTCACAAGAATTACCACCAATGCTTGAAAGATTGCATGGTGATATTTGTGGTCCTATTAATCCAATATCAGGACCATTTCGTTATTTTTTGGTCCTTGTTGATGCATCAAGTAAACAATCACATGTTTCATTATTATCAACTTGAAACATAGTGCTTGTCAATCTTATATCTATGCTTATTCACTTTCGAGCACATTTTCTTGATTATCCTATAAAAAATTTGCGTATGGATAATACAAAAGAATTTGCATCAAAGTCTTTTGAAGACTATTGTACTGCAACAAGAATCGAGTTGACATATTGTGTTCCATATGAACATGCTCAAAATAGACTTGCAGGGTCATTTATAAAGTGTATACAACTTATTACCCGGCCACTCCTCCTTCACGCAAGTCTACCTGCATCTATGTGGGGCCATGCAGTTTTACATGTTGCAGCATTAATATGCTTCCGCCCTTCTTCTCTTGAAATTATTTCACCACATGAGTTCATTTCGGATTGTGTTCCAAATGTATCTCACGAGTATTTGGTTGCCGTGCTTGGATTCCAGTACCAAAACTTCAATGGCGTACCATTGGAGCTCATCGACAAGAAGGTATATATGTTGGTTTTGATTCACCAAGTATTATTCGTATTGTTGATCCATCAACTAGCACATTATTACATGTACGTTTGCAAAATTGCCGTTTTGAAGAAATTGTATTTCCATCTCTTCAAGGAGGAATATTCAATCAAGAAAGAAATAAAGTACTCATATTTGAAGCACCAGAAATGTTTACAATGAATCCCGATCCTAGGACATCTTTGGCAGAAATTGAAGTTGCTAAGATTTTACATTTAAAACGGATCACAGATGAAACACCTGATGGCTGCAATGATGCACCTAGAATTACAAGAGTTCTTATTAATGAGGCTCAGAATGCATGTGCTCAGATTGCAGTGCCATTGACTATAATACCTCAAGTTATAACAACAACAACTAAAAGAACTCGTGGACCAAATAAGCAACCACGTAAGAAGAAAGCTATAAAATTAACTAATCTTGATATTATTTCTCAAGAAATTGCCATTCATCTTGTAGGACTATCAATTCATGATGATATATCCACGTATAATGTACTTTCAATTCCTATGAAAAATAATCTTGGAATTAGAAGGAATAAGAACAAGTTGAGTAAAGAATTATCTATTTTATATTGTGCTACAAATGATATTTGGGATAGACCATCTATTACGATAGATGAATCATTTGCATATATGATTATAGAAGCCTTTTCTTGTGAGGAAGACGATCTTGAACCTCAAACCATCGAAGAGGCGATACGTCGCTCAGATTGGTCAAAATAGAAAATTACTATTGAGGAGGAGTATGCCTCTTTGCGTAAGAGGAAAGTCTTTGGTCCAATAGTAGACACTCTTATATCTTGCCCTGTGGGATATAAAATGGTATTAATATGCAAGCGAGATGCTTAAGGCGAAATAACCCGCTATAAAGCTTGTCTTGTTGCTCAAGGATTTACTCAACAATTTGGTATTGTTTATGAATCCATATATTTTCCAATCATAGATTCAATTATATTTCGATATATTATTGGAATGACAGTTCATGCCACCCTTGAGATGCATCTGATGGATGTAATAACTGCATATCTATATGGTTCTCTTGATGCAAATATTTATATGAAAGTTCCACCTAGCTTAGAAACAGAAACTTCAAATCAACCCGATCCAAGAAAATATTGTGGTATTAAATTATGTAAGGCCTTGTATGGTTTAAAACAATCTAGATGAATGTGGTATCAACGTCTTCGAGATTATTTAATTACAAATAATTTTATAAGTGATCTACTAATCCCTTGTTTGTTTATCAAACAAAATAAAACTGGTTTTGTGATCATCGTTATATATGTTGATGATCTTAATCTAGTGGGCACTACATCTACATGTGTTATAGCTACTAACCTACTTATATGTGAATTTGAGATGAGAATGCTAGGAAAAATAACTTTCTGCATTGGTCTTCAAATTATGCATCTAACAGATGGTAACATTTTTTTCTACCAACTAATGTATATTAGACGAATCTTGCAAAGATTTAATATGATTGATGCTTATCCATTGTCCACACCAATGATTGGACGTGGTTGTGATGGTCATGATCCATACCATCCATGCGAGGAGGAGGAGGAGGAAATATTGGAAGACCAATATCCATACCTCGCAACGGTTGGAGCACTTTTGTATTTAGCTACATCTATAAGACCAGATATTGCATTTACAATTAGTGTTCTTGCAAGACATAGTACATGTCCAACACTACGACATTGGAATGGCATCAAATATTTATTACATTATTTAAAAGGTACAGAAGACTTAAGATTATACTACACAAAATTCGTAGATCCAAAATTGATTGGATATTGTGATGCAAGATATAAATCTGATATTGCAACAGCTAAATCTCAAACAGGATATGTATTTTTAAGACATGGAGCTACAATATCATAGAAATTAGTGAAACAAATAATAACTGCAACTTCATCCAACCATGTAGAAATTATTGCCTTACATGAAGTATCTTGAGAATGTATTTGGTTGCGATTAATTGATAAATTCATTCAAACAACTTGTGGATTCACAGAACAAAACCATTATTTTTTAATGAAATTGGTACAAAAATAGTATATACATTAAAAAAGAGCATTGAGTTTGATAGACATTATATACACAACATTATTCATCCAAAAAATGAAAATGGAATTTCAGCATGATGGGTATTTCAATTACTATAAATGCTTGTTTGTTATTTTCTAGTTTTTTATTATCTATTCTGATGATTCATAGATAAAGTAGCAATTATATTATTAGGTCATACATACATTTGTAAAAATGTTAATACCTTGTGTTCTTCAATGCATTAAGCCATAATTATGTTTCACCATGTGCACCTAAATCAGATTATAAAACTAAATATTAAGTTAAGCAAAATGTAAAAATATGATTTCAGAAGCTTCAAAGTCAATTTAGCACCAAGCCAAGATAAAGATAAGTGTGAAACTATGTGCATTGCACATTACATTGAAATAATGAAGCCAATGTAGATAATAGTCTGGAGATATTTTTTTCTGGATCTCATTTGTAGAACTGAATGCAATGATGTGCATACATGAAGCAATTCAAATGTTTTTAACTCTTGGAAACAAAACCATCACAACAGTGTAATCTCATATAATATTCATGCACATTTATCCAAATTGATTGATCATTTTATATGTTATTTTAACAAATAGTCTTGAACCAAACCTGCAACATGTTTTACAAGTCAATGTAGGTACTAGTTGAGCTGTTATCCCTCCACCATTCTCGCTGGCCTCAAGGAAGCCAGCGGGTTAGCTGCTTTGTCCTCATCAACCAACATTCTTTAATTGCGATACAACTATTTATATTTTTATATATATACACACACTGACACGTTAAATGGTGGAGGTTTCAAGGATTTCCATGATTACTTCAAGTCAGACTCGTCATACCTGGTTGATCTGTAATCACGCTAAGTCTGGAAGGAATATCCATTTCTAAGCAAACATCAATGGATCCACAAAACCAGCTTGTCTTCATGGCTTTGGGATGACAAAGCCCCGAAGTTGTCTTGCTGGGATGGTTCCATGCAAAGCTTTCAACGAAGCTTCAGAAGAGGAAGAAGAACGGTGATGCTTGGATTGTTGTTGCTGCAGCAATGCACGAAACACTTGAAGTTGGAGTAAGACAGCAGGTTATTATAAGTGCCATGAGTGATTGGTTTATAACAACAATAGCAATAACAATACATAAAAACAAAATTGATGGACTGGTAATTATGAAGAATCTACATGATGGCTTTCAAGTTGCCTTAGACAGAAGCAATGGAATACTAAAGACATGGGGTTGTGAAGTTATCCTTATTGTTTAAATAGTTGGGGTTATTAGCTGTCCTGTCTTTCTAGAAACTAAAGAAAAAGTATGCTGTAATACTGATTGAGTGCTTTTTTAACAAAGAAAGCACAAGGTGATGGTAATTATTCCCCTTCAACAAAACGTAAGCAGGTTGAAAATTAGATCACAGAATGATTGAGCGAGTGAGCGGTTACCACTGATCAGTGTCAATCAATACACCAGTGATACAGATCTAGTTCTTCTGTTCCAAGAGTTTCGAAACCCTAAAAGGTAGCTGCAAATGCATTTGAAGAGAAGTCAATTCAAGGTTTTCCGCCAGGCCCTACATTACACAATACTTCACAATGCTGAACAATCAACAGAACTGATCGGAACGACAGCACGTGTTTAAAACGAAGTTGTGTGTGTGTGTGGAAGTCATTTTGAACAACGCTACGCCAAGAGATTATGCTGAAAGCTGCCCTTCTTCTTAGCTACGACGAATAAATGCACCAGTCTTCTGATAAGTAACAATGACAAATTCTCGGCCAAGATAAGAAACAAAGTTAGGGGTCGGATGACCCAGCCAGATAGGGTTACCGAACCCTAACCAGGCCCATCACCACTCCAGACAGAACATCCATTGACGCGCTCTCATTCCAGAGCAAAGAGAAACGTGCGAACAACTCAAGCGTGACGCTGAATTGACGTCCTGCAGCAACACACCATTCCCGATACTCAGCAGCCCATGCTCGCGTGCGATGTCAACAGCATGAGATGAGGTGGGTGTTTAGTGAGTGTGTGTACTCTCTGTCTCCCTCTCTCTCACTCTCTCTCTTTCTCTCCTCGGCCATCACCCGTGCTGCATCATTTGCTTGCAGCGAGATGGGGCACGACTCACCGCAAGCAAACCCACACCACAAAATCAATCACTTCCTCTAAACAACGTCAGACAAATTGCAAAAAACACGAAGCTGGGTCATGGCTCCACTTCTGTAGACAAGATCTGTGGGAGTTTTGAGGTGCGTGTCTAATCCTTTTAGTCATTGGAGAGAACATTGATTGATGTGTGTGGGTGTGTGCTTGGGTCTGTGAATTTGCACTCATTCACTCCCTCCCTCCGCGTTTGTCACACGCAACAACAAAACTCCAACTTTGCTACCTTTCCTTATCACCCACTTTCGCACTGATTCATTTTCACTTGTTGTTCACTTGATGCGCAGCCTCTTGTACTCCCCATTCTCCTTACAAAACAGCGTTTCCGTGCTCTCTCCCGCGGAGTACCCAACCATGAATCTGCTTCCAAAAAGTCTGTGTGTGTGTTAATCTAAACATTTAAAAGAAGATTAAAAAAAAGCACCTAATTTTTTAAAAATTTAACAAATATAGATATATATATATATATCATAAAAAAAAAGACATATGACAATAATATAAGTATTTTTAAGGTATATGTAAAAAATTAAACAAAAAGAATTATTTCAATTTCTAATCTTTAGTAGGTATGACCATGAGCTTCTTTTTAAAGGTTTGAGTTTGAATTTTACTTTTGAAACTTAGAAAGGAAAAAGAGAAAGAAAATAAGAAAAAGTGATTCATTAATTGTTAAATTAATTAATTATTTTTTTAATGAAATCTTCAATGATATTTTTTTAAGAAATATTTTAGAAAATATTTAAAAGTTTTTATTTTATTTTATTTTTGTGAAGAAATTAACAAGTCATTTAAAAATGATTTAAATAGACATACTTTGTTGTATTTGATAAGTATATTAGAACAAAAAAAATTAAATACAAAATATTTTATAATATTAGAAATTGATACAATAAAATATAGATATATATATATATATATATATATTAGAATTAATTTTTAAATCACATAAATTATTTAAATTTAATTATTCTTAAAATTATTTTTCTAACTTTTTAAAAACTTAATTATTTATTGTCATAATATTTGGAACATTTAATAATATAAATAAATAAATAAATAAATAAATCTTAATTTTTATGAAAACTATAAATGACAACCACAATTTTAGTTACTTGAAAAGCATCTAATGTATAAAATAGGAGATATTGTAAACAACAAGAATCTTAATAGAAACAAAAAATCCAATAAAGTATAAGTTATTATTTAAAAAAACCTACTTTTTTTAAATGAGAGTTGCTGGCTACATTATAATTAAAGTAAATCGTTTCATAATTATTTTTCTATAATCTTGTCTTTATTCTTAATAAAATTTGAAAGGAACAAATTAAGAGCAATAAGAGGTGATATCTTTGTTACATTGATTAAAGTAGACTATATTTAATAATATTAGAATTTATATGATGACTAAGCTAAGTTAGTGGTAAGGTTTTAAAACTTTTGTTGGCTCGAAGGTGTTTAATAATTTTAATATCTTTAAAATTTTATCTCTATGGAAAATAATTTAAAAACATGATTCTTTTAAGATTGTAGTAAAACTTAATTTGATTTTTAGTGCAAGTATAAATAAATGAAAATAATCTAAACTCAACCTTTAATTAAAAAAAAAATTGTTTATATATGTGTGCAACTATATATATATATATATATATATATATATATATATAATATCTAAAAATAAATATATATAATAAAAAATATATATTAAAGATATAAATACATGTAAATTAAAGCCAAATTTCAAATAGGATATAATCTTAAATTTTAAATTTTAAATTTAATTGTTAAACTTGAATTATTTTCTTTTCTTTAAAACTTATGTTTTAACTTTTATGATAGTATGTTATTGGTCAATAAATACTACTTAAGCTTTTTTAGTAAAATTTAAGAATTTTTTAATATAAAAAATATATATCAAAAAATCAAATATTTAAAGTTTTAATCCTTTTTAGTGTTTAAATTTTTTTGTTTAAATTCAAAAGATAAAAATTTTAAAAATGTCTTAGAGGGTAGCTAAAGTTATTTAAACTCAATAAATATAAAATTTTTAAAAAATAAAAATAAAAATAAAAATAAAAATAAATTTAAATAAAGAATATTTTAAAAAAATATTATATTTTATTATTGATAATATTAATATATAAAAGTGTATAATTTTTTTAAAAAAAATAAAAATAATATTTACTAAATAAAATCATTTTTATTTATGCAATGTTAATTGCTACTCTAATTGTTGCTTTAATTGCCACTCTTATTGCTAATATCATTGTCATTTGTAAAATTTTGAACTCTTGTAAGAGACGTCCTATGAACATGGCATGTGCAATCATTACAGATACTAAGCTAGTTATTATTTCTATACTTTTTGAACTTTAAGTTGTTGTCTCCATCTACTAATTCAAATCCATAAGAATCTTTAACAATTCTTAATTCACTAAAATGATTTGTACTTTATATTTTTAATGCCAATCTACTTGATCCTTAATTGAAGTTTCTTTGACATCATAAATTTAGACTCATATTAAATGCACTTTAAGTTCTAACATGATATTTACTTATTGGTTCAAAACTATCCTATCAATAATCCTAATCAAATCTCAAATAATCTTTAAGAAAGTCTTAAGAAATTCTAAAAAATTCTCATGAGTTTTTAAAATTAACCTCTTAAACTTAAAATAATTCTATTCAAATCCTAACTAAATTCTATCCAAATCTTTATCAATTTTTAAGGAATTATAACCAAATCTTAACCAAATCTTTAAAAAAATCTAAATAAATCCTAATCACATCTTGATTAATCTTTTAAAAATTCTATTTATATCCAAATAAAATTTTAATAAATTTTAATTAATCTTAAATAGATATAAATTAATATTATTATAATTTTTTAATTAATTTCTAATCTTATTTGAAATTTTGTAATATTATCAAATTTCTAATTGATAATAAGTATAAGAATATGAAGAAGTATTATACTTACTAACTAAAAAATAAATAAAAAATTTGCTTAAATGTGAGGTTGCACCTTTTTCTAATGTTGATACTAAGCTCTCAATTTCAAGATCTTTCTCTTGAAATTTTAATTTCCTTGCAAATATTTATAGATATTGATATTTACATCAACCTTAAGTTGGCCAACTTTTACATTAATTTAAGTAGAAAATTATTATAAATATTAGACTCTCTTATTTTTTTCTCAAAATTATAATTTTTAACTTAAATTCTACTTAAATTCAAGTAAATTATAACCAAAATTTAAAACACACATCTATGACAAATATGTTTATATATTTATAATTTTATTAATTATAGATGTATTACAACACTCGCAAGGTTTTTTTAAATATAAATCTTATTTTATTTTTTAAAAATAAAATTCTTATTATATCAATTCTAATTTTACATAGCTCTTAAAAAGTCATCACAAATTAAATTGCTCAAAACTAATGCATTTAGAATTCCTCTCTAATTTTTTTTCTAATGTGCTTTTCTAATTATCAAAATAAACTTTGCTTAAGTTATGGGCCCATGGTTTTATGACTCAAGATTTGATATTAGATCCAATTAATAAATAATCCTTCCAAAGCATCAATTTAAACTTTTTTTTATAATTTTTATTAAAAAATATCATTTTCTTTCATCTAAACAAGTACATGGTAGTTTTATGTCTATTCTATCTTATCTTACTTCATTAATGATCTTACAAAGTAAATAGAAGTCTTTTTAGTAAAAAATAATATTAGAACCAAATTTTCTATTACATCCCTATTTTTTATATATCATCTCTAAAGTAATTTTTCTATTATTATTTTTAATAAAATACCTCTGAATTATTTATTTTTAATTATTATATTACTTAATAGTTTTTATTGATACTTATTGGTTATTTATAATTTATTTGTGCAATAATCCATATTATTAACAAACTAGAATTTATGATATTATTTAAGTGCCTGTTGAGGAATTCAAATAGTTAAATTGTTGCAATTTGATTGAAAATGTATAACAAAGAAGAAGTTGCAATCATATCTAATTTTAATTCAAAATAAGAAACTCCCAATATTATATTGTTTTAAAGTAGATTATATTTTTTTCTTGCTTAAGAGGTTTGATTTTTATCAATAAGTTTTAGATAATATTACATTTTGGTTGACAATTTATAAGTTTAAATTTTTCATTTACAACAAGAAGTACTTCTATTAAGAATTTTAACTATTAATTGATTATTGGATGTTTTTTTTTAAAATAAGATGTTACAAAGCATTTTAAACAAAGAAAGTCCCCATTCTATGCTTCCACAATTTTTTCTTTGTGAATTAGTCACTTATTTTTTAAGTTTCTTCATATAACTTGTATCACTAATGCTTTAATATCAATTCAAATGATTTTTTTTCTCCATCATATTATAGGAAAGTATCTGCCACATCTTCTTAAAATTATCAAAATAATCAATTATTGTGATTTTGAACTTAATTTTGTAATGACATTCTATTATTTATGCCAAATACAAAACAATACTTTGGCATTTAGATACACATTCAAAATGACAATCATTAAAGCAGATTGTAATTTTTTTTTTAATTAATTGGTCTTTATAAAGAAATATTGAAAATACTTCTTTATTTGATTTATAGCATATCTATATTATAATTATTTTTCACCACTTTTAAAATAAAAAATAATAAGAAATATGGATTGGTAGAAAAAAATTTAATCCTATGTAGTAATAATATTTAATACTTATCTAATATATTAATCATTAAAAATAAATAAAAAGATACATAAAATAATAAGCATAATATAATTTATTGAAATATTACTTATTTGTCTTATATATGCAATTTAAAGAATTGACAAAGTATTATAAGTGCTCTTTGACAAACTCCTCAAGAATTTTTTGTATAAAAAAAGTTGTATAAGCTTGATTTTTTATTATTATTATAATTTATTTTATATTTTTTTCAATAATAATATCTAATTGAACTTTAATTAGTATCAAGGACATGAATCAAAACAAGAAGAATCTTGAAACTCTCTTGTGTAACTCAAGAAGAATAAATATTCATTCCAAAAGTATTATTGTATTAAGACTAGAATAGCTATTGCCAAAGACAATAAGAATATAGATTCTTGACATTAGACTAAGAACAAGAAAGATTTTGATAAAATTAAAGAAGACTTCACTCTTGCTTCCATATATACTATCTAATAAAAAACTACATGGCAATATTCTATAGGTCCTCTAACACATATCCAACTTGCAAGACACTTGTCTACCTTACAAGATAAGTTTTTTATACCTACATTATCATGTTAGCTTGTTTTGCACGT